AAACAGTAACTAAGAGTCCACCGTGACCCTTGAGGTCAGGTAGAGCATTGCGTCCCCCCTCGGTCCATATGAAAAAGCCCTAACCCCTAAGAGGACTATATTTAAAAATAAGACCTTAAAAGAGATCATTAAAGTTAAAGGAAGTCATGAGAATAGGACCCTGATTCAATAGGACTGGTGTCCTTATAAAAAGGACACGTGCAGAGAAAAGGCAATATGAGGACATGACAAGGAAGCCACCCTCTGCTAGCCAAGGAGTGAGGACAAGGAGAAATCAAACCTGCGGACACGTAGTTCCTGGACTTCGAGCTCCAAAACTATGAGACAATAATTTCCTGGCATTTCTACATGTCCTTAAATCAACCTCTGATTGCTTGTAGCAACTTAATAAATTTAGCCGCCCAGCCTGTGGTATTGTTTTGGCAGCCCTAGCAACGAAGACCCTTGGGGTGGTTTATAGGTATCATGCCATCCCATTGCCATGTCAAGTGGCAGCCCGGAATCATGGAGATAGCCAGAATTCCGTTAGCCTGACATGCACGCCGCATTCGGCTTCTTTGTCCATTTCCACTTCTTTTGTGCATTATTCTAATAACGAAAGGAGTAGAAGTCCTATCAATTACGTTCAGCATGGTGGACACAGCTAGATACTCTGCATCATCTTGTGGAGAAAGGCAAGATGGGCCAGCACTCAGATGTAGCTATAAAGAGGGACTTTGGAGGCAAGTGTGACTAATTTCAATTCTGTGCTTAGGACTGTAGGAAGAGCAGGCTCGATCATTGAAGATTTTGCAAAGAAGGAAAAGTTTGAATAGGACCATTTGGGTCTCTGTTGCTATCTATCAAATCATTCCAAACTTAGTGGCATCAATGAACCACCATTTAATAAGGCCCAAGTTGTCTGTGAATCAGGAATTTGGATAGGATTCAGTGTGGACAGCTTGTCTCTATGCTACCTGGGATCCCAGCTGGGAGTGATTCAGACAACAGGGCGTTAGGAGCATCTACTTCAAGATGGCTTCTTCACTCATGTGCTGGTGCTTAGGCTGAAAGACAGGCTCCACTGTCTGGAGCTAGATGGACGATCACAGCACCTGCCTATGGGCTCTCCAACACTGCAGCCTCAGAGGAGACTGCCTCCTACACAGTGGTTCAGGGTTTCGATAGGAAGCACTCCTAACAAACAAGGCAGGCACGTAGTCTTTCACGATGTCGCTCAGTGGTCATGTAGCTTCATTCCTACTACACTCACTGGTGGAAGCAGTCCCATTTAAAAGGAGGAGACACAGACACCACCTGTCTTTGGAAGGAGTAGTCAAACATTTGTTGCCATGTTTTAAAAACTCATAAGGATGAGACCAGCAGTTGATGTAATGGCTATGTCGTTGGACTCCCATGTAGTCTACTGCAGTTCAAGTCCCAGACCCAGTGACTTAAACTCATGCCAGGTGCATGTGTGTGCATGTCCTAGATCCTGAGAGGAGAATGGAGGAGAAGGGATTGCAGCGTGGCCATTCTCCTACCGCCCCACCCCCCACACCCAGGGGGAGATTTCTCACTTTCTGTCTCTCTGTCTCTCTCTGTCTTTCTGGTGAGCGCACATGCCCTATAGCAAAAACCTCTCCAAAAAAAAAAAAAAACCTCATGAGGATCTCAGAGCAGAAATAGGATTTCAATACACATGCACTGAAACTGTATTGCCTAATTTTTTTTCTGATTGTATAAGAAATGCACATTTATCATTTAAAAGAAATTACAACTATGGAAACATAGAGATTATTCATTATTTCAGTAGGTAAGTTGTGTGACTGGGTCTAAGCTAGGAATTTGAGCTATACTCTTGCACAAGACATAGTTCCTTCCCTCAAAGAGTTTACAGCCTGCTAAAGTTCCCTCGATCACAACATCAAGAGTTAACAACCATGTGTTGTCTTTCTCGATTTGAAAATAACAAATTGAGATCATTCCGTACGTAGAGTCATGTCTTGGTTTATTTGTTTCCTCTTGGTACATAAGATATTGTGAGAATTTCCCTCATGACAAATATTCTACCAAAATCACCATTTTAAATTGATGTATCACATATTATCATATGAATATGCCATTGCTTCTTCAGACATTTCCTTGCTATTGGGAAACATTTTCAAGATTTTATTTTGCAGTAGCAAAATAATACTGTAATAAATATACTTATACATCTTTATGCTTCTCTGACAATTTTCAGATAAAATGTTTAACTAGTTGAATTACTAGTTCAAAAGCACAGAAGATTTCAGAAGCTCTGGATCAGTGTTCCAGCAAGGTCTGCGGGAATGCGGGACTGGTCTGTTTAGCATGCGTCTGAGTGCTTTCCACCTGAGCCACATTGAGCCACAGACCCTGAGGGAAGGAGGCCTGGCCCCAGGTATGAGGGGGAAATTTGATTGAGTCTGAATTGAATCCCATTCCCCCAAAAACGTGCTGAAGGAATCCAGGCTGCAAACTATTAATACAATCAGCAGAGGACCAGCATGGACTTGGCAGCTAAAGAAATGGATTCTAGAAAATGATGACAGCGGAGTGAGGTAAGTGAAAGACATTCTAGTGCAACTTTAGGGTGACATTTTGAAATCGAGTGTGACTAAAGGTTCATTGTGGGTGTCAATTAGGGCTTCTTAGGGGACAAGTAACAAAAAGCGATCAGGGCTAATTGAAGTCCGAAGGGAGTTTACTGGGAAAAACACTGATCTTTCAATGGCCCAACTGGAAACCAGACTCAGACACCAGGACAGGACCAGGGGAACACCATCACATGAAAGCGAGGTCTAAGACTTCCTCACAGAAGTCACCTGGTCACATGCTGTGAATAATGAACTAGCTCAGATTAGTGTGTCTTTTGATGACTTCATCCACATTTCAGATTCCAGAGGAAAAGGATCCTCACTGACCTCATTGGCTCACAGGCCTGTCCTTCAGCCAGGGGAGGGCAGGCACCTTGACGATAGCCTGCCATAGATGAGAGAAGTCATTCCCAGAGGTAGGTCAGCATACGACCCCCACCAAAACCCAAAACTGGCCACCAAGTCATGTTACCTGGCAGGGGAGGTACACTAAGGTTTGCCCACCATTAATCCCTGGTCCTAAATTAATTCACCACATTGGGTTCCTGCCTCCCCCTCCTCCCACACTCCACCAAAGCAGAAGTGTGTGGAAATGAAGAGACCTAAAAGCTATCAGGCTTTGATGAGACAGGAATAAGAAATTCTAACTACAAGCCATAATGTACAAGGTGCAGTGCTGGAAGTTGGTATGAATAAATAATTAAAATAAATAATTCTGCTTTAACTTGAACTGAGTTTTAGCCTCTCCCCCCATCCCCTTCTTTTTCATCTGGAACTCTGGGCTTTGGCTGATTAAAGCAACTAGGGAGCAAGTTAACTGGAAAGAGTCTTGGCTGAGAGCCAGACCAGGTCCCACCTGCTGCCTTCTACTGCCCCCCTCTCTCCTGATGAACCCAGTGCAGAAGGAAGAAGTCAAAAAGATATCATTGCCTGGCTTTCTTTGGCAGGGTGGGTGGGAATACTGACATCTTAGGAGCCTGGCCTCCCCGCGAAGTCCCTCTCATAGGACAAGGCTGTGCGCCCCCTGCCTGTCTTTCCCTCCCAGCTGGTAGGAATTACTCCTTATCCCAGTGGGTTAAAATGAGGCTATCGGGCCTGCAGATACTCTGGTGCCAGGGAATAGGAAGGAGAGAGACCCCCCTGAAAGACCCCCATCATTCAGCCAGGCAGTCACAGGAGGAAAGAGGGGACAGGTAAATTTCAGGGACAGACAAGGAGACAGAAGACTCACTGTCCTTGGGGAACATGAAGAAGCCAAGGGTCAGGAAGGGATTTATGAGGATGGGAGTTCACGCTGGGAAGGAGGACCCGTGCGGAAAGGAGGGTGGTCAGGGAATGGCCAGCCCCACTCGTTCTGAAGAGTCCCCGTTGCTTCCTTTACTAGGAGAATCATCTCAGAGCGCTGCAGGTCAGCCTTGTCTAGATATTCCCTGCAAAACACCAGGACTGTAGGTCATTCACTGCTCTTTGAGAAGTGGGTCAAATGGAGAGCGTGGTCCTGCACTCACCTCCAGAATCAACTGGAGTCTTCAAGAACACATTTTTTTTTATTAATTAATTTCTATTAACATAAAATTGCACATATTTGTGGGAGTGCACTGTGATTTTTCAGGGATACAATGGATAATAAAGTCAGAATGGGACCAGCAGATGGCATAATGGTTATGTCACTAGACTCCCACATAGTCAACCATGGTTCAAGTCCCAGACCTGGCAGCTTAAAATTCACACTGGGTATGTGTGTGTGTGTGCCCAAAATCCCAAGAGGAGCATGGAGGAGAAGGGATTGCGGGTGCCCATCTCTCTCACTTTCTGTCTCTCTGTCTCTCCAGCAAGTTTATGCACTCTAAAGCAAAAAAATCTCTCTCCAAAAAATAATAATTAAATCAGGGTAATGATCATACTCATCATCTCAATCATTTGTCATTACGTTTTTTTTCTTTAGGTTTTTGCTATAGGGCACATGTGCTTGCTGGAGGGGGGTTGGGGGAGTGAGAAATCACCACCCAGGTAGGATGGCCACACTGCAATCCCTTCTATTCCATTCTCCTCCCGGGAGTTTGGGCATGCACGCTTGGTGGAATTTTCATTCCATCAGGGCTGAGATTGGAACTGCAATAGGCCACGTAGGAGTCCAGTGCCTTAACCACCTCACCACCTGCTGGCTCCCTGGTTGTCATTACTTCATTAGGCATATTAAAAATCCTCTTTGTTAGGTACTCTGAGATACACAGCGAGTTGTTGCTAACTATCTTCTACTAGACATTCCTCTTCTGATCCATCTGTAGTTTTGTTTCTGGTAACCAACATCCCTCTGTTCCTCCCACCCTCAATCCTTCCCAGCCTCTAGCAGTCATTCTTTATCTTTCCAAAAGGACACTCTGGAAAAAACTTCAGGATCTTTACATTTGCAGTGGTATGGCAAGATCCAAGGAGCTACCAAGAAATCCCTTCCAGAATCTCAGAGGGTAGAGAAATGGCCATTCGTTCAAGGATGCTTCAGTGGCCCCTCAGTCAAGATCCGAGTAGGACCACCAGGAAGCTTCTGCACAGAAAGGTTCAGTGGTCCTGCCACATGCCAACTTTAGAAACTGTCACACATCCGGTAAGTGTAAAGATATTAACAAAGTTCTGATTTTTCCCAGGATGCACACTTCAATATTTTTTCTGAAATATCAAATTAGTTTAATTTCCACTGCCCCCTACCCCCACCTCTGGTTCTTAGTTTACCTGGTCTGCTCTGGAGTCACTAAGTACTAGGTGAGGTCCCACGAGGCCCCAGCAGAGGGACTTTGCTAAGAAGGAAGAGGTCACCTATGTGCACAGCAAGAATGACGTCTAGACAGGGGGAACTTCCTGCCCAGAGATGGGAGTCACCGGGACTTGTTCCCAAAGAAGAGACAGTCTGTCCTGGGCAGGCTTTGTACACCCCACAAGGCTTCTCCAGGAGAGCTCCCACCCCATCTGTGGAGCAAAGGCTGAAGAACCACAAGCAGGTTGTGCACATCTGAAAGGGTATCTGGGGAACCAACAGTTGGTGTAATGGCTATGTCCCTGGACTCCCATGTAGTCAACCGCAGTTCGAGTCTTGGACCCGGTGGCTTAAACTCATGCCAGGCATATGTGCGTGCATCCCCAAGATCCAGAAAGGAGAATGGAGGAGAAGGGATTGTAGCATGGCCATCCTCCCTGGGCAGGGGCAGGGGGGGGTGGGGAGGGAAAGGGAGTGATTTCTCACTTTCCATCTCTCTGTTTCTCTGTCTTTCTGGCAAACGCACACGCCTTATAGCTAAAACTTCTCAAAAAAAAAAAAAAGGGGGGGGGCATCTGGGATGGACCATCACCCTAGGAGCTGGCTTTGCAGTGCAGCCTTCTGCTCAGTGACCCTTACTCCTGGTCAGAGGGCCTCCAAGTCCCAAATATATCTGCACACTCCGCCATCCCTCCCTCATAGCCACTCTTCTCTGCCTCTCCCTGTGCTGCACCCTGACCAGCCGGCCTCTGAGCCCAGCCCCACTGCAGCTAGGAGGACGTTTCTCTCCCCCAAATTTAGGGGTGCCTCAGCTCTCCCTTCACTGTTGTCCACACTTCCATTTTCTTTTCCATTTTTGATCTGCTTTTGGTCTCATCCAAAATCCATTATACGCTCCCATAGGCCAAGGATCCATGTGTTCCCAGATTTCTGGGATAAGCTAAATTTGTTTTTAGAATACTTCATTTTTAGTGCATATATTTGGAAGTATCTCAGAATCACAGGTCCTAGAGATAGAAGAGACCTCTACCACATGCATTTGCAAAGGGGTGCAGGTCCCCAGTTTTCACAGTGTGAGAAGAATAGCCATCCAGTGTTCCTGCCCAGGGCTGACTGCCCAAGGGCCAAGGGAATATCTTAAGGGGAGGGAAGTACAGGCTTAAAGGGGAACAGGGAGCCACCCAAGTGCATGGTGTCCCCACAGAGGGACCCATGCCAGCCAGACCTCCTAGAAGCAGACGTAGTACAGACCCTCACGCACAGTCAGTGCTTCTCTGTGTCCCTATCACCAGATGTTTGCTGCGATAGCTTAACTGGGGAGTACTTCCACACATCGCCAAAACCAGTGATCATTAACCACTTACCATATGCTTTGAGGACAGAGCAAACGCTACTACCCCTTCCTCCTGAAGGTGCACATACACATAGACAGAATGCTTCCTGCACATTTCAGGGGTCCACAGCCTCCCTGAGACCCGTTTAGCATTGACTCCGAGATAAGAACCACTGTGTGAACTGGATCTTGCAAACACGCTGTAAGCTAGCTGCCGCAGGTCCTGTGCCTCCTGTCTAGCAGGTGGGAAAGCTGAAGGGCAGAGAGGCAGGGACTCACCTCGACTACTGAGCCGCAGGTGGCTACATCTCCCTCCCCAAGTTCTAGGTCTCTTTGGGTGGCTCTTTTGTAGGGTGTCCTTAGAAGTACAAAATCTATACAGAAAATACCTCTGCCTTTAGCACATGTAAGTCAGAACAGCCACTACAATTCTCTCCTTCTCATCCTGGTCACCAAACTGGGCATCTGACGAAACAGCACCCCCACAGCCTATCACTCGCCAGGGCAATGACGAATGTCCCTCCTGGTGCCAGCGGAGTGTGGTGCCAGCGACCTGGGTGTGGCTGTGAATCTTTCATTTTCTTATCCGAGGCCCCAGGCCACCTCGGCCAACCTGAATGCAGCTGACAGGAAGCCGGCTGGGAGCCCGGCCATGTGAAGTTAGTTACTGCCCTCTGGCAGATCTTCTCGTGCTTTGGTCTGAGATGTTCTGTACCAAACCACCAGCCCTATACGCAACCGTCCCCTGACACCAAGGCCTTGTTCTCAGCCCGGCCAATGACTGGATAGGGAAAGCAGCAGAGGAGGGCACCCGGAGGGCACCCGGCCAAGGTGCTGTGTAACAGCTCCAGCTTCCACTGTCTGGTACCGTGTGAGGAGGCGACCCCTCAGTCACTGCCACGACTCTCCACCTTCTACTGCCTCAACGAGGGGACAAGGCAGTCCCCAGGAGAAGACTGCTGCCCCGGCCGTGCCATGAGTCTACCACGGCCACTCAGACGTCGTGCGGGTTCTGAGTCACCACCAAGGAGCTTGAACCGAGGAACTGATCCACATTCATTTCTCCTGGCTAGACAGAGTAGAGCGGCTTCAAAGATAAGTATGGGGGGTGGTTTTCTTCATCACCGTGCACCGTGTTTGGACAGATGTGCTTCGTCACAGCTCCAGCGGCCCAGGGGCCTGCGTTGTAGCTGATGGGTGGGCCCAGCCCAGGAGGCCAGGGCGATTCTCCATGGGGATTGCCCCCTGCACTCCAGAAACTTCCAACTCATCTACACGTGCAGCCCCAGGGCTGGTGCCGAAACATCCATAGGTGTGCCCCTTCCGTGAGCTTCTACGTGTGACCTTTTTACACCGTGGTGGTTGCCCACACCTTCTGAGAAAAAACCAAGTCTTTCCTGTCAGCTTTTGTTTATTTTTCTATGTTTCCTTCTTTCCTGAAAGAGACAGAGTGAGGGGAGACAAGCACCTTGAACAGGGTCTCACAGTAGCTTACCAGCTGCGCCACACGAGACGGACCTGAGCACTTCATCTGGTCTCTTCAGAGACAGAGTGAGGGGAGACAAGCACCTTGAACAGGGTCTCACAGTAGCTTACCAGCTGCGCCTACGAGACAGACCTGAGCACTTCATCCGGTCTCTTCCGCCGCCAGGACATAGGATTCTGAGATACTTGCAAATATACGCACTGAAAATGAATTGTTCCACAGACAAACTGCGGTACATACGAAATTTCCCATACCTGAATCTTGTTTCGTTTAAGCCTCAGGAGGAATTTGATCATTTACTTTTGAGGCGCAAGCTCTCTTCTCCATTAAATACTACATAAAAACAGCAAGATGTTCTACTAAATGTTCACGTTACCATAGCAAACAAAGGGAGAGACTGTAAGATCTGAAAGGTAAACATGTAGCTTGTTATTCCAAAAAAGTAAATGGAACAAAAAGAAGAAAGTTGGCTCCATCCCGTATCCCCACACACCCCACAGCCTAGGGCGAGCCACAGAGGCAGGCCCTCGCTTCCTCTCCCGCCAGCCAGCGTCCTTCCTGAGTCCTCTGAGCCTCCCTGCTGCCTGTCAGGGTTTCCCTGTCTACATAGTCCCCACTGCTCAAATATGGCTCCTTCGTGAAGACTTCTCGCAGTCATCTGCCCTCTGGAGTTGTCTGTGTCCAGTTCCAGGTCCTCTGTGTGCTGTGAGGACACTGACCACCCGCTGGCTTATCTTACATGTGTGGTTTGTACACACTTACCTGGTAAGCTATTGCCACCCCAGGCCACCAAGGAGGCCAGTTTACCCTGTACATTCCGGGCACAGAATAAGCCTCGGTCAAGGGGCAGACTTTTTATCTGATGCGTTTGCCGAGGGGTGCAGTCCCCCAGATTTCACAGTATGAGAGTAATGGTCCAGTGGTTCCACCCAGACTCGAATGCTTCGAGATCAAAGGATTGTCTTAAAGGGAAGGGAGGACTGGCCTACAGGGGAACAGGGAGCTGCCCAAGTGCGAGATTTACGGATAGAGGATGTCCTCATCTCTGTGCTGATTAAGGGACCCTTGCCAGTCAGACCCCCTAGGAGCAGATGTGGGGACCAGCTGAGCGTGTTGAAAGTCAGAAGCCAAAATTTATCTGGAGAGAGCATCTGTCCAGGCATGTTGGGAACCGTTTTAGGAAATCGGGTTTCTAACCGAGTAGATAGCTTTCTTTGAGTGCCGGGAGTGTGGGGATCTCGCTGTGGATCCTGACCACGTGTCCTGCAACCAAGGCTCCAGCTCAGACTTCCCTAAGTCTGGGTTTGCCCTGCGGACCTTCTCACCCTGGTTCACTGCCTGTGCCTTGGCTACTGCTTACACGAGGTACCCTTGTGTTTGCTGTCACAAATGCACCATTTTTATTTTGGCATCTCCAGTATGGAGCCCACGGCTGTATCGTTTGCCCCACTCCAGGGTGGAGTTCACAAAAGGAAAGGCCCTGGTTTTCTCTCTGAAGACCATCCTAGTTTCTTTCTTTCTTTTTTTTATTAAGTGTTATTTATTTATTTTATTTATTAATATTTTTTAACTTGCGATAGGGCACCAGAGAGAGAGAAAGAAAGTGAGAAAAGAAGCCACCTGGTCCAGGATTCGAACTGCTGTCACCCGAGTGGGAGTTCAGACTTTAACCGCCATGCCATCTGCTGCTCCCCCCACCACCACCCTAGTTTCTAACAGCAAATGAACATGGATTATTCCCTCAGTCCCAGTCCCTTGGTCTATGACTCAGGAAGTTGCTCTTGTCAGCTCACGAGATGAGCAGGAAACGGTGTGGAGAAATCCAGATCCCTGGCTCACCCCATCCCTGAAGTGAGCCTCACTGCTGGCACCAGCGAGTGACTTGGGCAGCCTTCTGCTCGCATCAAACGAGCAAAAAAGACAGATGTCGAGAAACCAGGTCCTTTTTGCAGGAAAGCACAAATGCGTTACAAGATCGTTTTACAGCTCCCACTAATCATTTACTCATATTTTACTCACGCCACAGGTGATCTCCTTCTGCTCAGAAGAAAGATGACGTTCTGTAAAACAGGCTTGGGTGGAATCCTTGGCACAGAGAAGAAAGCGGTGAGATCATATGCCCAAAGGGTATAATCCAGGGATTGGCGATATCCCGGGAGATAACGCCAATCAGGGCCATAGCATTCCTGGCAGCTGCCTCCCTCCACCCTGAGAAGGCCAGGCCTTCCTGGGGATCCGCAGGCCTGTGGCCGTGCACACTGTTGGCCATGCGCTGCACTCGGGAAGCTGGCTGTGTGCTTGCACTGGGAGTGAGCACTTGGGCAAATGCAGTGAGCTGTCACTGGTATGGCCTTCTTTGGAGCAGACACAGGGCCACATCACCTCTGCTGCTCTTGTTCAAACAAAGAGACCGTTCTTTGCATCACATTTCCCCAAACTTTCTTACACTCATGGTGACACCAGAGTGAGTCACCTAAGGCAAAGGCCTCTGTGCTAGCACAAGAGATTGGCTTCTGCTTTGGGTTCCAGTCTTGGAGGCCTGTGTCCTTCTCAGAAACTGTGGTTTCAGGGAGCACCTTTCTCCTCAGACTGATCCTTCACAGTGATTGGCTGGCAAAGGGTTGTCACACCTACCCGTGACTGTCACTCCCTGGGATTTGAACTGCAGATAATTCATCAGAATCTGGGATGCCCTGAGTGCTCTGGCATGCCAGCTACCACTTCCTGGGTGTTGACTCAGAGATATTTACATATGTAATTTAATCCTCGCACGATTCTGCACTCATTTTACAAGAAACTCCCTCAACCCTGGTGATGTTCACGTACACCTGGACCAAGGAGACCTAGCTAAGCTTGAAACAAAGCTTGTGGGGCAAGAGGCCAGATTCGCCATGTCTAGACACCCCATGTCTCAACAGTGGCTGTCTGCTTACAAGTTTAGCTTCTCAAGAAAGTTGCTATTGGAAGTTCCATGTCTCCAGGGAAGAAGGTGACACACAGGAGTCCCTTGGCTGTGGCTGGCCTGGGGTAGCGAATAACCCAGGAGCAGAGAACAGAGGGCCATAGAAACTCCAACCGGCGGAGCCAGCAATTCTGTTTTTAATTCTCCAAGAGATGCTAGAAATCTAGGAGATTTTTTTTTAAAGGGGGGAATCTTCTAGTTTTGAATGTTGTCAATTGATTAATAAACAAACAAAACAAAACTTAACACCCTGCAGGCAACATAGCACAGTTGTGGGCTGGCTTGCAATTTCTAGGTTAGTCTTTCTCTCTAGATATAAAAATCACAACATAGGAGAGAAAGCAATCCAGTCTTTTATTGCTTCGCTTTGTTTTTCATAAAATATACTTTTTATTAGAATATATAAAAATTCTCAAAAATTATAACAAAGTTCTAAAAATTATAAATGCTCAGTTATTTTTGCCAGTAAGTTTATTTTTCATATTAATACCACCTTCTGGGTCAGCTCCATAGCACAATGGTTAAGCACTGTGCTTTGGGAGCAAGATCCCACATGGTTGACCACGGCTCGATCCCAGCCCTTGAAAACCATGCTGAGCATATTCCCCAAATCCTAGTAGGATAGAAAAATGGAGAAAAAAAAGGACTATGGCTTAACCGCACCCCACTGGGGGGTTCTTTCTCTCTGTGTCAGAAGCAGGAGCTCACCCACCATCTGGCAATTTAAAAAACCACCTTCGGATCCAGCAGTTAGTGTAATGGCTGTGTTGTTGGACTCCCATGTAGTCGACCGTGGTTCGAGTCCCGGACCCGGTGGCTTAAACTCACACTGGTCATGTATGCGTAAGTGCCCCAGATCCTGAGAGGAGAATGAAGGAGAAGGGATTACAGCGTGGCCATCCCCCCTGGGCAGTGATTTATCGCTTTCTGTCTCTCTGTCTCTCTCTGTCTTTCTGGTGAGTGCATGCACCCTAAAGCAAAAACCTCTCAAAAAAAAAAAAAAGTGTATTCGGGCATGTTTGAGAGAAGGGAAATTGCAGCCATTTCTAGAGGGTATCTGGCTTTCCCTCCAGAGGCAAGTTCTGTGAAGGCTGGATCCCAGCTCTTGATCTTGAAACATGACTTAGGCAACATTCCCAAATCTGCAAAGCAGTTGCTCCCCAATGGCTTCACTCTATTGGAAAGGTGCACCTCAGGCTACTTTGCATCTGGAATTACTTACTGCCTACTACTTTGCTCCAACCCTGTTCATCAATGCCTTATTTCCTTGAGCCCAGGTTGTGTGACTGCAGGACAGACCTCTGCGGTTCTCAGTCTCCATCAGTCCTCTGACTCTCACTGGCTCCTTCTCACAAGGCCTCAGCCCTTTTTTCCCAAGGAACATTGCATAACACTTTTTAGCAAAAACACATTTTAAAAGGTAATAATTAACCGCATGCTAGCACTGACATGTCAAGAATAGGTAAAAAGTAGACTAAAGTAAGGCTGTTTCTTTTGTCAAGAAGGTTTCTAGGCCAGTCTGTGGCCTGGTGGTTAAGGCAGCTAGATCTCATATAGCCAAACATATAGTTCAAGTCCTAGGCCCAGCAACTTGAGAACCATGCCAGGGAGCTCTGTGCATTACCAGACTCCCAACAGGGAGAAACGGAGAACAGAGGATTGCAGCACGACCATGCCTCTGAAGGAGGTGCCTTCTTGCTTTCTCTCTCTTTCTCTCTCTCTCTGGAAATTTCATGCATCCTCTGGCAGGGAAAAATAAAAGTTGCCAGACAATGTAAGAAGCTTTCAATAGCAGATACTTCTTGCCAGATGGTATAAAGCACATCTGGGGCCTGGAGCTCTCTTTTACACTTGTCTATGAGAGAAGACAAGAAGCGAATTTTTATAATGGAGGTCCTGGTAGCACCTGGTCGAGCAAGACCCCAGCAAGAGTAACCAAGAGCAGGGATTCAGACACGTGGCCTGGACTTGATAGCTAGCCCTGCCCCCAGCTCAGGATGTGGCTGAGGATGAGTCATTTTACCTCTCTCGGCCATGAGCTCCTCATCTCTTAGATGAAATGCTCAGAGGGGAAAAGGGAAACTAGAGTAACATCCATTGAGAATCCACCAGGAAGCCAAGTCCCATTCTTGGTATTTTACACACAGATTCTTGTTTGTCCTCACAACATGACATTTGAATCCATGTCAGAGGACAAATGACTGACAGGTGGCACGGCCAGAACCCAAAGCTGAATCTCTCGAACTTGAACGTTAAGCCTTTTCTATGAGTGAAGCTTAAAGTGCTTCTCACACTGTGTCAATGAAACACTCCCAGCAAGTGAAAAAAATAATCACATGTGTAGTTTGACAAGGCTGCTATCACAAAGTCCCACACACCAGGTGGCTTACACAATACACGCTTATTGTCTCACAATTCCAGAGGTCAGAAGTCCAAGCCAGTGTGTCAGCAACGTTGGTTCCTTCTGAGGAGTGTGAAGAAAGGATCTGTTCTAGGATTCTCCTCTAGTTTCTGGGGGTTTGTTGGCAAACTTTGGCACCCCTTGGCTTGTAGAGACATCACCTCACCTCTGCCTCCATCTTCACATGGAGCTCCCCCAGTGTGTGCATTGTGTTCAAATTTCCCCTTCTTATAAGGACATCAACCATACTGGAGTAAGTAGTCCCTACTAAACCTTATCTAAACTTAATTGTATCTACAGAGCTGGCCCTGTGGCCTAGTGGTTAAGGAAGCCACATCACATGAGGCCAACGACATGCTTCCTGCCCCAGACCCAGCACTTTGAAAAACATGCCAGGTACATGTGCATGTGTGCCCAAACTCCCAACAAGATGGAGAAATGGAGAAGGGATTGCAGCATGACCACATCCCACTGGGAGTTGCTAACTCTTTCCTTCTCCTTCTCTTTCTTTCTCTGGAGAGCACATGCACCCTCTGGCAAATAAAATCAGTAAATAAATAAACATTTTAAAATTACATCTGCAATGCCCTATTTCCAAATAAATTCACATTTCAAAGAACTGTCTTGGAGTTTAGTACTTCAGTGTATTTTGGGGGCTACATTCCCACTGCTAACACTTCAGGAGTCTGAAAGGATTGCTTATGCTACCCACTGTAACCGTAAATGTTTTTAGAGCGTTAACTTTAAAACCCATGCCAACTGAGCACTCAGCTCCATTATTATCCATTATTATATCACTATTTAATATGAAAAACAGTTCTCCAAAGTCTGTGAGTCAAATTAGTGATCCAGATAAATTATTCCACTTGATCCTCAGGGCCCAGAACCCACCCCCCCATCTCCCGGCCCC